TCTGTCTATGGATGCGAATTCCATTCTCTTCAATAATTAAAATTAACCTCGATAAACAATCTTCCTAAAAGAGTCATCCTTTACCTGCGTAGGATTGGTTGAAGATGCAAGCATTGGAGCCGGTGTTAGGGCAAGGGAGGGCACCACGAGCCTGGGCGCAACGCGGGGCGTAGCAAGCCACGGCGCCTCCGTAAGTGGTGGAGGCTTGCGGCGAGTAGGTGGCGGAGGAAGAGCAACCGGTGCAGCCGGTACACGGAACCCAAGCCTCGTCGGTGCTGGTATCGAGGACCATAAAAAAGAGTTGATCCGGCGAGCCGAGTTTGACTCGGACCACGTAGTTACCAATGTTGAAGGCCTGCCCCGAAGCGATTGGGGCTGCGGAAACGCGTTTTTTCCTCAACGACGTGTCGAGGCCAAACAAATACTGGACCCTGAGAGGGTCCTTGGAAGCCATTTGGATGATGGTGGTATCCCATGAGTCGGAGAGATTCTTGAAAGGGGAGCAGTTGCCGTAGATGGGAATGACGGTGATGGCTGAATCTTCAAGTTGAGAAGCGCATGGGTCGGTGGCGATGGCTATGGTGGGGAGGTAAAGTAGTAGTGTTGCAGCGATAAGAAATGGCATGGTGGCGATGGTGTTCACACCCATAATTGTTTGTGTGCTGATGGAGGAGAAAAAGAAGGTAGGCGTTAGAGTGTAAGTGGGTAATGTTCATGCATGGATGCATACTCCTTTAATACATTCAGAAGTGGTAATTACTGCAAAAACTAGGGTGTGTAATTTAGATTAAAAAAGATGTTGTTAATTTTTTTTAAGAGTAATGGTACAGTCACGATACCTCTGTTTCAAAATTTATATATTTTCATATTTAAAAACTTAATGATAACAATATAAAAAACTGAATACCATTTTTTTCCCTCTAACTAACTTATTATAAGTAAATTGTGTTTATATAATGATGAAAAATATGTTAAAACTATAGCGTTAAATTTTCAAAAATATAATAAAATTGAAATAATGCATTAAAGGAAAAATATATTTAAATTTTGTGAATAGTTACTCATATTCAAATTAAATTCCATTTGGTGGGATTCATTGCATGCATAATAAGCACTAACTAAATTTGGATTCCAATCTCACTCCCAAAGTTTGATCCTGGCTCATAAATTTAAATTAATAAATTGAAATGATAGATTTAACTTCACATGTCATGAATGAACTGTGTGGATAATGTCTATTTAAAAAAAAAAAAAAACTTAACATAAAAAAAAGATGATACATTACTTTTAAATTGTGATGTATTTGGTTTTACCGATCCGCTTTATTTCACAAAATTATGTTTGTTCTATATAAAAGTTTTGTCCCAAATCTATTATAATAATATCATTAATATCGATAATCATATTTTAAATATATATTTTTTAATTTTAATCTATTATAGTGTTATTCTTAAAAACATCTAAACAAAAAATATTTTAATTCTATTTGTTTATTTATTTATTCAATTTAGTTTCATTATCAATAAAAAATTTAATCAATTTTCTTCATTTTTAAAAACAACACAATTAATATCTAAGTACCAATAAAATCTTTAACAAATAAATATTAAAATTTTTAATTTATAACCAATGCTATGCAAAATGGTAATTTATAGTCAATTTCATCATACAAAAGGGTTATGTCATATTTAAAACATTGATGAATTTAATTAATATTTAAAAAAATCATATTATTGTATTTTTAAAATTAAAAAGATTGATCGAAGCTTTTATGAATACAAATATCAAATTGAAAAAGTTACACAAATAATAAGAAAAAAAAAAACTAAACCAAAATTGAATTATATATATACCACCTCAATTTTCTATGGATGCAACACACGACATAATAAATAAACGTACCCTTGTCAAATAAATTTATCAGCTGTTTTACTCAACTTGAAAACAACATTTGATAAGGACGTTTGCAAAAGAAAATAAGTCTGATACGAACACCATAACAAACTCCAGTTTCAGACACTTTTTGGATTTTAGTACAGTGAACCCAGCAAACTAGGTTTTTGAAAGTGGTAATGGAAAAAACATTACACTGAGTGACCCATATTTTTGAGAGTGAAACAATATACTATGAAAAGATAAAATAATATGAATAATTCAAATTTATAAATATACAAATATATTTAATAATTATTAAATTTATAAAAATCAAAACCATAAATATTAATATAAGTTACAAAACTTTAAAAATAATAGAACAAATTCTTAAATATTAAGGTAACTTACAAAATATTATTAGGGATTATTTATGATACTCTTCTCCCAAAAAATACGAATCTTTAAAGCTATATTGTGAAACACATGTATTGGATAGTTGAGAATTAGACAAAGGTATGAAAACGTATGGAACTCAGAACATGATCATTTTGTAGGAGAGATTAATAATGAACATTTAGTCCTAAGATTCATCATGAGATGTGGTCGGTCACGGGCATAGATTGAAAATTTTCATTGAATCAACATGCATTCTGGTGCATAACTGAGGAATTCTGAACATATAAAAAAGTTTTTAAGTATAAGATAAATTTATATGTTTTTTTTTTTATATCAGCACTCCAATGGAACCAATACCACTTTTATTTAAGTAGTTTTTTAATAAAAAGAATTTAAAAAAATGGAATTAATTGTAGAGGAATAAGTGGAAAAATGGTAAAATCTATTGTCTCTTTTTGTTATAGAAATTAGTGTTATCCCATTTTAACGGGTTATTTTGGTGCTTCCGCATACACTGAAGCGTAGACACAGCTGAAATTGTACAAAACAAAGTGAAGTTAGGAATCCAAGGGAGTACTCTTTTCCCACTTCCCACAAATTGCTCTTCATTTTCCCCACGAGGGTACACCCTAAATTAACAACACATTCTCATATATTAACACTTGTTTGGAAGAAATAACTTAAAAGTAAAGAAAATATAGTATTCCATCTAAAAATAAAAATAATCCCATATATATACAATTCTTATATATTATATAAGGTATTGTTTCATTTGAAATTTTAATATGTGATACTTTAATTTTTTTTTAATATTCTCGTAAATTTAAAGAAGATGATATATATAAATTATTTTTATTATTGATTTTTAATTCATGTTTAACTTATAAGCGATAGATTGTGATATTAAAATGTTTTTCCTAATAAAAGATTATATGTTTAATTTTATATACGATGGAGGGTTTGAGTATCAATATCTTATAACAAATATTACAAGAAATTTTATCTTTAATTTTAAGTATTAAAATTAATTTTAATGAATCAATTTTATTCACACTCAGTTTTACCAAAATTTATTAAAATGCACTAAGCATTTCACACTTTGAAGGAATGTGTTGATGAAGGAAAAACTCAATGGAAAGAAGTGTATTTACATCATGGGTGCGTATTTGAATTTTTTTTTATATAATTTATTTTCATTCCTGTCCAATTCTTTTGAAAATAAGTTAGACTGAATTTTAGTCCCTCATTACAATCAAAATTTGGTCGCTGTTGCGACCGGAAACTGTTTAATTGCTTATTATGGCCATATTTGTTATGGATAAAACGATGGGAAATCATTAGTCGTGAAAATGGACTGAAATCTGTTGATCGCTAATTGCTAGTTGCGTCCAAAATTTTTGAATCACTATGTAATTCCTTAGTTGCTAATTGTGACCTAATTTTGTTTAGTCGCTAATTGCGATAAAATTTGGATTAGTCTCTATTTGTCACTCAATTTTGTAACTTCGGCCAAATATTCAGTCACTAATGACGTTCGAATATTTTCAATTTTTAATATCTAAATTTGACTGTAATTTGGTCGCTAAGTCGCTTTTTTTTTTTTGTAGCACATAAAAACATACGTGAGCTGAAAGAAACTAACCAGTACGGTACCTGTTAATCATTCACCATTATTGCCTTATCAAGAGAGACCCACTTTTAAAAAACAAACTTTGGCTTCTGAATTTTCTTTCCTCATTATAAAAGGAGAGATAATAATTATAAAAAGCTAAACTACCAATCCAAGCACAGGAACCAATAATTTTTTTGTTCTGTATAATTATTGTCCTGAAAAAAAATCTCATAAATGTTTTTTTTAATATAATACATTGTTTCCGCACTTAAATATAACCAAAATTAATCAATTTATGTTGATTAAATTGGTTAATCAATATCATTTAATTTTATTATTTATATTTTAAAAAACTCATAAAATATTATTCATTAGAATTTGATATAAAAGGCAGGACTCATAGAAAATGTAATTTCGATTAGTTGAGTAATACTTTTGGGATGAGATTATTAATCAATGTGAAAGTAAATAGAACCCAAATAAATAAAAAATCAATATTTTTTTTGTTTAATGATAATTGTCGTGAAAGTGAGGTGCTATTTTGACTCTTAATATAACAGTGTCTTTAAATAAAATAAATAAATTTTTATATTAATTAAGAAGTTTAGCTAATATATTTAATTGTATTATTCATATTTAAAAATGTTTTTAAATTTAATTCATTCAAATTTGATATAGAAAATAACAGATATTGAGAATATAATCTCAATTTATTATGTACAAAATTATTATTTATAATTCTGCTCTGAATAATATTAGTTTTTTCTAAATTATAATTCTGATAGTAATTAAAGCATGGACTTCATGAGAGAAAAAGGAAGGACCTGAAAATTTTGCATAAGAAAAAAAGAAAAGAAAAGAAAAAGAAACCCTAGGAATTGCATTGGGACCACCACAATCCTGACGGCTGCACTTGTTCCTTTTCTTCTTCTTTTCTTCCTCCTCGAAAACACAACTGGACAACGTCGTCCTTAAATTTAACATTGAAATTGAAAAATACTAAAATTAAGAAAAGAAAAAGGCACGTGTCTTCCACGCCGTCACCAATAACTCTCTTCTCTCTCTTCTTCCAACCGTCAACGCACAAACACCACCCCGTTCTCCTTCCCGAACCGTAATGGAGGTTGGGATCTGCGATCCGAACCCGAACCCGGTTCGGGTGAAGCGGAAAACCCTTGAGGCCATGCTGGAACAGTGTCAGAGAGCCCTTGAACTCATCAATGCTTCCGATGCACAAAACCAAGAACAAGACGAGGAAGAAGAAGAAGACTCTGACGAATCGCATCCTTCCACGTGCCCCGATCCAGAAACCGATCAGGCAATTACTCTTTCTTTTCTTCCCTTTCAACTTAGATACTTGAATTTTCTATCGGTTAGGGTAAGCGTTTTGGGATTTGTGTGTTATTTGTTCGCATTGTGCAATTCGAGTGAAGAAAACTTGTCTCTTCATGAATGATTTATGTGATGAAAAAACGAAGACATCGCATTCTTGTGCTGGAGAAAAAAACTAGGGCTTGTTTGATAAACGATTAATTTGAACTTTGAAGTGAGAAACTTTAAACTTAGATGCACTTTTTAGATACCTTTTGTGATATTTTCTAATAAAAATTGAAGATTTACCTTAATAATCTGCGTAATAAAAGTTTGCATTGAATGTCGACATTGGTTTAATAGGCGAAATTCCAATTCTGGTTGAAGAACAGTATAAAACGACAGTCCAATGGCGTGATTTGATTACCGTTTTACAGGCAAAAAAATGTTCGTTGATACTTTTCAAAGTGCTAAAAGGATTGGCAAGATCAGGGTTGAATTGAAGTTAATGTAGGGTTAAGTTGGTTTCAACTATTTTCCAAATACACTCATGTTTGTCCTATTTTTTTGTATTAATCCAAACAACCATTTTTAACAAAGGTGTTTGTGTGTGTTTTGACAATAGCCTTTTGATGTGGAACAAGTACTTCTTCTAGATGCAATTATTGCTAGTGCTGTGTTGTAAATTAAGTTGATGCGATGTCTATTGTACATGCTTGATGATTTGTTAAGAAGTATGTTAATTTTTTATTTGAGATTAACATGGCATGTTGTGTGCTCCATGCAGTTGTGTGACCTAATCAAATCTAGAGTTGAATGCCCTGACTTCCTTGAAAAATTGGAGTATGCACAGGCAACAGTTTCGCGCAATACAGCTGGTATGAATTCGTGCAAATGTTCTCTTTTTGTTTGGGTCTTTACTTTTAGGATGCTAATGAAAAATGCTTGGGTTATGACAGAAGAAGGTAATTCTTGGGATTTTGTTAGTGAAAATGATCTTTGGGAAGATGAAGATGCTAACATTGACCAGGAAGATTATGTCCTTGTTAAACAAGAAGATATAGTGGAAGGAATTGCATGCTTCATGGCTGCATATTTGTTGTCCCTCAAGCAAACCAAGGTTTGTTTTCTGTGTATTCTTTTGTTATTTCAGACACTCTGCCATACCCATCAATATAGGGCCTAATTATATTTTACACTCAATTGTGTGGCTCTTATGCTATAATCTGAAAAAGGTGAAAGCCTAAATCTGTTGACTTAAATGCACCTTCAGATTTCTGATATGCTTATGTTTACGGGTGCTGCATATGCTTCTCAGTTTGGATGCAAATTCCACACTCGTAATTGTTCCCTAACCATTTGTGAAGTTATCTTACTGTACACTACCATGCTGTTTAAGCGAATATGACTATTTGGTGCTTGAAACTGTCCTTCTTTCCATGGTTTATGATGAACTTTTAAGTTTATAATGCTTATTTTCTATAGGAAGATGTCCAATTTATAGCTGTTAATGCTTGAATATCTTTAAAAAGTGTGCAAAATGAGTATTGTATTAACTACTACCTCTAATAACAGAGAGGGAGAGAGAGCAAACATATATTGTTTTCAATTTGTCTCTGGCTTTGATGTTTCAATTTACTTGATTCGCTTCTCTACCACTGAAGTGGTTTTAAGAATGTCATATGACAATTGATAACATTAAACACATTATATTTAGAGGAGTGTTAGCAACATACTTCTCACACATTTTATTATCATTTAAAATCTATTGGAAACTACAAAATTTTGAGAGGCTCAATGATGACTAGTGGGACTTAATAATTTTGTCATTTGTGACAAATTTCAATCAATAATAAAGAATGCGTTTGAAATAATGTGTTAGAGTATGTTGCAAGATAATTATTTGTTTTATCTACAGCTATTAAATTTTACAATCCACGATTCAAATCACACAGTATGATGAGATTTGGCTAGCTAGTGATCTGTATCATATGTTGTTTAACACTTCACTCACTCTCTGTATGTATTTGGTTACTATTGCTCTATTCCCAGTCTTTAGATATTTAGCCTTCACACAATTGTTTCTTGAGATTTATGGTCATTTTCTAATTCAAATTTTTTACATTGAGCACTATGATATATTTGAACATACTATTTCCTTTGTCTCCGTATTTTATAATTTGGTAGAATTTATGGTTTACAGTTAAAAAATTTGTCCGATGATTCATAATTTGAATTGCAATAGTTTATATTTAATGAGTGCTTTGCTTTTTCCAGGATTTGACCCCAAATCAACTCCAGGATGGTGAGTCTGGCTGCTTCCTCCATAACATGATCTTATTTTTTGTTTTGTCCACAACACCATATGTTTGAATGGAAAATGGGGAAGAAAGTAGAAACATCTCCTTGGCTAAATTTCTCATTCTAGATAAAGTTTTGTTCTCTACTTTACACAAGTATTACCTAGATAAAAGAATGGGAATAAATTTATCATTTATAACTTTTTCTTTGGCGTGTTTTAATAGCTCTCAGCAAGACATTTTCTGTGAAAAATAAAAAGGGAAAGCTTCGAAAGGCATGGGATGGGAGCAAAGTTGTTTATAATGTTGCATCATGGGGTGCTACAGCTATCGGGTAATTAATTGGCTTTACCAAACACCCCTTCCCTTCTCGGTATATATTAAGGAATTGATTAATGTTCAATTTTGCTGATGTTCATGAGCCATGTTTACCTATTCAGTTGGCTATTTCCTGATAGTATAACTTCAATGATGTCTTATGTTGGACTCTGATTCAGAGTTTAATATATTGTCAATTTGTTTTTATATTTAGTAACGTGCAGAAAAATTAGTGTGGTTTTTTTACCCTCTTTTCAGTTCATTGTTTAATTTTTACTGATTACTTTCATTTTTTATTCTTGACAGGATATATCAAAATCCTGTTATTGTAAGAGTTGCAACTAAAGCATTCTGGACTTCTTGCCAAGTTATATCAAAGCTACTCTGATTCCCCGATGCAGCTTGGAGAAAAGTTGTAATTTGACTGTTGTGTATTTGTTTGTGCTGCAATTAAGCTTGGTTTTCTACACACCCTTTGCACCAAAGTTCAATTGATCTTAATAGTCTGATCATGTAAATATCTTTATTCAAATTCGTTTTCAGAGCTTAGGCCTAAAACACATCCTTGCTTTCTCCAGCTGTACCCAACTCAGAACCCGGCCATAATTCAAATTAAGTTTGATTGAAATAATATTAAAAAATAAGCTTTTTATTATTTACAAAGTAGTTAAATTTTTAATTTGACATGATGTGTTGAAGATTAAAAATTTAATTATGATTAGTTATATTTAATTAATGATATTTGATAAGAACATATGATAGAAATTAAAATCAAATGAGATCATGGAAGATAACTAGATAAGTAAGAGATTTAATTTACGTTAGAGGGTGTTCCGGCGTTAGTGTACATGGAAATAATATCAATATAATCAAATAGCAAAATCTGATGTATTCAGAAATTTTGTTGACAAACAATAAACTTGTACTACAAAGAAAAAATATAAATAACATTGTATCATCGCCTAGTCACCACCATTGAGCAAAGAGAATGAGAATTGTAAAGGCAGTCATTGAACCTGACTTTTTCAAAATAAACAAACCAAATCACAAATCAGGTCTTAAAACGGGTTAGGATCATAAGTCACCTCTGCTCACCAACCATCATAATAATTTTAAAGCCCTAAAAATATTAAAAGCTGACTTCAACAAATATGAAAAGACCCCTGCATTAATCTACGAGGCAGACCCGTGGATGTTCAATGAGAGAATAGGTAAATACAGGCCTTGAACTAAATTTAAGGGATCAAAGCAAACGTCCAATTACCATTAAAGTTAAAAATTGAGCTTCTTTTAGAGCAAGATCCTAAGTAAACTTAGTAACTCATCATCATCCTCGTAACGGTATTTCGACAAACTACCAAAACAGTGATTCATTTAGCGTTTAATGGGCATTACACTGTTAATATGTAAAATTTTACACTGTTAATCAATCAGAAATAATCCATAATGCTTTAAAATTTATTATAAAAAATCAACACATTTATCATACTTAACCATCTGTAATTAACTGACACGGTGAAAAACTTCATTCCGTTAGTGCATATATTTTTAGTTATAAACAGACCATTGGGGCTGGTAGACACTGCAATAGTTAATCAAGAGGCTAAGGTTTGATTAATAGAATGTAAGAAACTAAAAGATTTATATATTACTACCACTACTACCAAGTATTACAATGAGAGTAATTTACTGTATATATACCCTGTATTGAAAAAATCACTATTCCCCATTGAAAAGCAGCACATCGATCTTTCTGGAGCAGTTGAGTTGCTTGCTCCTGCTACAAAATTGGCGACCCATTTTCTTTTTAGCTCCGAGTATTCCTCTCTTCATATTTACATGTAGAATTGCCCTAATAGTAAAATGTGTTGTCCTTGTGATTGGGAGCATCCTTACATAGCATGGAACGAACTTCCATGATGGATCTAGGTGGCTCCAGGTCTTTCTCATGCAATGCATTTCCTAGAAGCTGCTGTATGTGTGAAGCAAAGGTATCATCCAGAATCTGCACAATATTTCTTCAGGTCACAAATCATAACCCAAAATACAGCAGCATAAAGAAAAAAGACAAGGGATGCATTTCTGGAACATTTACTATGATAAAGCAATCAATCCACATTAATGTTCTTTGAGACATTTAAAACTATACAATAGAAACACAATGTTAATACTTCAGCTGTTAGGTAGCTACTCACAGAAACAGCGACCCTTGAGCCTTTATACCACGATCTATTCTCTTTTCTGTTCTCCAAGAAACTTAAAATTTCCTGTTAAATAAGAAATATAATAAATATAATGCAATTAATATCTTGTCCGAAATCTAAAAGTTGCTCAAGGCAAGGCAACACAATCTAGATGAATGTAAACTGACCTGTCCCATTCGATCCCAATAACCTCTACAGATGGCAATGAAAACATGAGTCTCAAAGACACTGTGAAGGTGACTTATGGTACTAGCCAACTGATCTTTCAGTGGCTGCATTCTACTTCTTAAATCAGACTCCACCACCGTTTCCTTCGACTCTTGAAGAATCTTTTTTAATTTTGTGGTATTCTGTAACTTTGTCTGAAACGACATAGAAGAGGATATCCTATTAGGATACTTGAATACTTTATTAACACTGTTCCGAAATGGGAGGAAATTGATAGTAATATGAAGAAAATAGTAACTTTCAAAAGCAACCAAACTTAGTCATGTCTGCAATTTGATAGTAATATTCTGGTGCCAAATTTGTAATTAATTTTCAGAAAATTTGTAATTAATTGATAGTTCATAAATATCCTGACTGCAGTACTGCTCTACCAGCATAAGTCAAATATTATGTTATTAAGAACAGTAAGTTTGCTTTCAAAAGGGTACTAACATTCTCCGCAAGTTTCTCCACAATAGCTTGGACGTAGTTTCTGAACTTTGCTCTCAGCATCACTGTCACCTCACTAAGTCGCTCACCAGGTGTTGTGTTTCCAATATTTGGCAAGCAAAAACCCCATGTCTTGAACTGGGATTCAACCCTGGGACGCAAGATATCAAGCATTCTTTTCAAGGAATTTAAGAGGACTCCAAGCTGAAAAAAGTGAGAAAAATTAAAACAATGTATCCAAGACATGAAGAACATTTGAGTTTTTCAGAAATCAACTCACCTCATCAGGAACCACATAGGCACATGTTGTTCGTTTGGCAAGTTTTTGGACATATTTAAGCCCGAATTTCTTTGGAGCCATGCTTTCTTTGAGAGGTGATAATACATCTGCATATTGTTTGTCTAAAGCTTCCACAATGGCCTTCTCAACATCAGCAATGGCCTGTTGCCAAATTAAAAATAAATAAATAAATCAAACTCAGTCTTCAATCTTCTGATCATCAGATACAGTAACACATTTAGAATCAAGGAATAAAAACTCCTGTTCTAAAAAGGGCCTTTTTGATATAAGGAATAATTGAAAAAAAAAAAAAAAAACTCAGGATAGGTATTTGTTTATGAAGAAATGAAATTCATGGGCTAAATCGGGAAAGAAGTATGCTAGACCAGGAAAGAAATAACAAGAATTGGCATACATACATTCTCTAAAACCAAGGTATATTCCGGCCAGCGGGAAATAATGACCTCATAGTCTGTCAATGTCTCCTTCAGCCGCTCATACATGTCATCAACAAAGGGAGTAGTAGAATGTTGTGTTCTAACTCCAGACCATTTCACCTGCAACAGCATAGATTTTAGACAACCATATTGTCACAACAATTTACTACAGAAGGGGTGCGGCAGTTAGCACATTATTAGTTTTAGGGTTTAGTGTTTATAATAAAAGTCCTGAAGACGATCAGAAGGCTCCTTGAAACCTAGATTGTGTAAAAGGGAATATCTTCCTGAATATACTATGAATATGACAATATTAATGCGATATCTTAAAAAAAGTAAGTACCTTATCTAACTTGCATGACTCCAGCAAAGATAGACGTTTATCTTGTATCCAAACAAGAATATACAAATGGAATAACTCTTTGGCGTCTACTCCACCTTTGATAGAACTAAGGAAATAAGACATGTTAGACTTGTGTAGAAGGGATTCATTCTGAATACAAAACAGGGTATACTTGGCCTATCCAACTAAAGCATAGTAACACTTACCCAATACTCCAGCTTGCGAGATCTCTCTGAAAATCTGATGTTGCAATAACAAGTTCTGCTACGGGTGATGAAGGCCCTGCTGGTGGACAAGATATGAGGAAGGCTTGTAATCTATTGCAAAGCTCTGTGCTGTATATGGAAGCAGAGAGATTTGGAAGATCCACAAAGCTGTGGAAAATATTGAACCAGCTACATTAGAACCTTCAACATACAATAGTAATCTGACAAACTAACACAAATACTTGAAAAAAACTAAGGAATATGAAATTTGAAATGAAATTTTAAAGGCATCTAATGAGGCGATTGAAATGATGATTCAATGCCCAAGTCAAGCTTAAAACAAAAGTAATCATCATACAAAGAAAAGTATGTTGTCAGATGTGAATGCAGATTCAAGATAACAGCTGTAGTATCTACTATACAGGAATAAAAGCCAAAATAAAAAGGTTAAGATATTCAAAACTGAAAATAAAGACACATACCTTATGAATGTTGCTGTCCAAGTATTTTAACTACGAACTATATACAAATTACAAGTTCATTAGTTAAGTTTGACTGTAACTTATTGTGTTACTATCAGCTTTAATGCTAGGTTTAATTTTTAAGAACTTCAAATTAAATGTCATGGTTAAAAATGGGTAACAATCGGTTAGTCCCTTCAATTGTTTTGTTGAGGACTTTGGTACAACTCATTGGACTTGGTAAGGGGTAATACTAATACAATATCACGTTATTAAGCTGATACTAATTAATAGCAATTGCATTATAAATTTCCATCAAGGTAGCCCTGAAATAGTAGACATCCCATTGTGTAACCAATTATATAGAAGAACAGAAAGTTTATCTACATACAGGTGTGTTTCAAGATTATAAGAGATGTATATAACAGAGTATATATTTGCATAGAGGCACAATTAAAGATGAGAAATGATACACACTTACATCATAGTTGTATCAAAATAAAATACATATAAATGGAGTCTTTGCAACGAATAATACCTAGGAAGTATATTTTGATTATGAATCTGGATATCAGTATAAATCTCATTTCTGAGATTTATACATAGGGTTTTCATCTTCTGGTAAGCAGTAGACATAGCTATGCCGTCCATCAAACTGCTTTCATTATTTTGAGTAATATATTCATCTGTTTCACTCAGGTGCCTCTTGGACCTCTTTTTTGCAGCAACCTAGCAAGATACTAATTTGTCAATAAAATTGCAATGGCATGAGTATACAATTAACAGTTGTTGCCATAAAA